AACAAAAATGAATGCAAGTCAATTGGGCTAAAACCGTTATTTTCTAATTTCACTTGTTTTGTGCCGATTTCACATATGATGTCCGTGAATTTTAAAGCGACATTTTGATACCAAGAACGCGCTTATTTTCAAATGGGGGAAATGCTATTTTAGGTTTTGTGTGAAAATAAGTCCAGGACTACAAAAGCGCTTCAGGAAAATGACGTCATCAAACCAGACACGGAGAAAACTGAGGGAAAAGGGCTGTGAGTTCTACAAACTTCAAATCCTTCCCACAGGAGGAAAGAACCACCATAAATCTGGCTATGTGGTAAGTAGCAGCTACGCTAGGGGAGAGGAGCTTCTGTGGTGACATCACATATGCGACGTCCCTTATCGTGGTCTCCTGACGCGCAGGGGCATCCGAATCGTCATATATTGAGGCTTGGTCACGCGTCATATTTTGACGCTTTGGGTGTGAGAATGTGTTGGACATGCCGATTTCTGGTGTGTAGTCATGCTAATTACGAAATTTTACAAGCTGATAAATCTCAAAGTACGTGACTGGCATGGTCGAAACACCCATCATTAATTTTCATTTAAATTATCTCTAATTAAAGGGACTTTATGGAGTTTTGAATTTTTATGCTCGTGATTGCCCCCTCTGGCCAAAAGCGTAACGGCAGCTTCAATAGGAGGCTCGTGCTCGTGGGTCAGCTTCACAGAGCTCTGAGAACTGACATTCCCTTGTGTGTGTGTGTGTGTGTGTGTGTGTGTGTGTGTGTGTGTGTGTGTGTGTGTGTGTGTGTGTGTGTGTGGCCCGGAGGACAGAGGACAGGAGAACGCGCAGCTAATTAATTAAATAATTTGGTTCTGTACCTTTCTCTTCAGCACAGCCGACAAAGGTTTTTGATGGGTCAGTCCTCCTGCATGCTCAGATCATGCCCTTCCCTTGCTTGAAAAATTGGTCCAAAATGAAAGTTAATCCCACATCTTTTTTATCTGTGAATTCAATGCCGTTCTGCGAGTCTCAAATAAAAATTTGGGCATCTTACTGTAAAAAAATAGACCATTAATGTAAAAAAGAAACTCTAAAAAAACTGTGTTCTCACCCATAATCGAACCTGGATCTCCTGCACATGAGCCCGACATTTAACTAGATGAGCTAAACCACCACTGACATTTTTGGTATATGTAATATTTACATCCTTGATTACAGCTAAAACAATGTTCAAAGAACGGTTCGGAGTGAAAATCAGAATCAGAATAAGCTTTATTGCCAGCGCTCCAGCGACTCAGAGCATAGGAACTTGACTCCGCAACACAACCTGACCAAGGTTAAACACACACACATGTAGACAAAAACAGGTACAGGCAGTTACGAGAGCAGCCAGAACGGCGCTCATTTCATTAGATGAAAAGGGTGTTACATGAGGATAATTGGGGTAAGGTAAAAAAAAAAAAGCATAGTAGCAGAGTTAGACCCAGCGGGGAGTAACTCTATTATACAAAAAAACTCCTTAACATAGAAGCACGAACATCACAGATACAAAACAGCAGAGTCCGATGGGGAGGCGGGGTTGGGCGGGATCCTGAATCCTCCAACGGGAGCTGCCCGTACGGCGCTCAGCCAGCTGCAGACAAACAGGTGGGAGGGAGAAATGAGGGGCAGAGAGCACATTGAGTTTCCTGCAGGTTGCTGACCTCGAAGCAGAAGTCACAATCTGAAGGCAGGGGGGGAAGGTCGGGACACAGCATCTGTCAGCATTCCTCCTGTCGTGGGGGTGTGATGATGGAAGCCTTGGAGGCAGCCTTGGCGTCAGATAAGGATAAACAAGACTTTGTTTAGGGCAGACAGAGATAATTTTCCTCTCTGCCTTGGAGTCTATTAAGTGGTCATTCATGTCCACCAGTGAAGCCAATTATACGTTCTAAACATCCCCACACCGTCCGGCGACCCTCTCCGAGATGACATCCATCTTGCACACTAACACAGGCAACGCCGCGAGGACATTGTCTAGCTTACGGTTCACCTCGAGTAACGTCCCAGTCTGTGAGGTCACCGCACGGGCGGCACATTCCGTGGGTGCAGGTCGCACTCCAATCGCTCCCGTCTTCCCAAATTTCCAGAAAACCAGATATCCTCCCACTCCATTCAGAAGAAATCGAGTGATCATCAGGCCGAATATCCACAAATCTTCCACGTCCTCGATGGACAGCTGAGAGAGGCACACGATTCGCCAGACCTCCCAAGAATCGAGTGCATATCCCGCTGCGAATGTCCCCTCGGGACAGGTGGGAGCCCCCTTCTCCGTTCTTATCGTAGAAAAAATCTTATCATTTGCGTTGAACGACCAGTTAATTAAGTCCATATTTCCAAAAAAGAGTAGTGATTTCAGGAGAAATGCAGAGAAGTGCTCTGTAGGCAGACAAAATGGCTATTTTGTTGCTAATTTGCAGGAAATATCTAGAAGAAAGTAGCTAAGGGTCCTCAGAAATGTAGCTAGGTTCATCACTAGGCTTTAGGAACAGCGACAAAGTGGCACTACCTCACTCTCTGCTGCTAAAGCTACGGATAGCAAATGCTACGGGCTATGCCTGAGTGTGAATGCGCATGAAGCAGCCTGCTCGACCCGAGCATCTCTCTTTTTCTGTGATTTTACAGAAAAACAGGCAATCACAGTAAAAATGCCAGGGCTCATTCTACAGGACCAGGGCATTGCAGGAGAATGTATGAAGAAGATATTTATTATTTCTATACATGTTTTGGCTGTCAAACTTCCATAATGCTCCTTTAAATACGTGTGATCCAGGGTCTGAGGCAAAGCGATTAGAAAATAGCGTTTTTAGCCCCGCTGACTTGCATTCATTTTTTTTTCGTTCTTCTGGGGAACCATGAGCCGACCGGAACGGAAGGAGACTTATGCTCCTTCAAGGGGATACAATACAATACAACACAATAATACTCTATTAATCCCAGAGGGAAATTAGAGTTTCAGTACACACGATTCTGAGATCAGACATACATACATACACACACATGACAAGAATTGGCGACTGTGGTCATTCGCAACTCGAGTCACGCTACTGTAATAATAAGAGGGTTTATATGAGGATAGAGTCGGGGGAGGGGAAAAAGGCACTTTAGAGTTACCCTCACCAGAGAGGGTAGCTTTGCTATGCAAAAAAACACCTCAGACAGATATGCACACAGACTTCAGACATTACACAACATAAGTGTCCACTAGGTGGGGAGGTAGGGTTGGGGCTATCTTCACTTCAGTGCATGCAGCCGCATGAGCAGCGCGTTTCACCTCTCTTTGGACAGGGGAGGGAGATAATGGTTTAGAGGGCACATTGACTCCTAGATACAGTTCCACGGCCTTCACCGGTCACAGTCCCGCCCAGGCTGGGATAGGGAGAAGAGTTGCCATAGCGACAGCCTCATTCCACATTTCTTCTGAGGGGGGAGTTTTTACTTCATCCTCACAGGCTCCAAGGGCACCAGATTCAGATAAGAATTGTTTTGGGGACAGGCAGAGATAATTTCCTCTCTGCCTTAGAGTTCTGTTGGTCATCAACCCCTCTAGATCCAATAATGTCGTAATTAATCTATCCCAATCCGTGCTGATCCGTCCACAACTCTGTCCTTGATGGAATCCACCTTCTGGGTCAGAGCCTGAATCTCAGCCAAAGTTCCAAGCTTATGACTCATCTCGACAATTATATGAGTTTGTGCATTCACAGCGCGGTGTAATCCATCCCTGAGCTCCGGGATTGAGCCAATATTCCTCGAAAGCTCGTTAATTTCCCAGCAAGCCAGGTAACCGGTCAGGCCAAACAGCAGGAATTCCGACACCAAAACCATGATCATCCAGACATCTTCAGAATCCTCTACAGACAGTTGAGAGAGGCATATCAGGTTCCACTGTTTCCAGGAGTCCATGATATACCCAGCTGGCTCTGTCCCAGAGGGGCATCCGGGAGCCCCTTCTCCCGTTCACGTTGAGAGACCAACTGACCAGATCCATTTTAATAATTTCCAGTTTCCAGAAAAAATGCAGAAAGCACCGTGCACGAGACAGGACAAAGAGTCTTGGGATAAGAGAGGGAGGGAGAGGAGAAAAAAAGCGTCTGTACTCTCCAAGATCCGGAAGAAGAATGTGCTCCTGGCTGCAAAGCATTGCACCTTCAAATACAAATGTTTTTGTATTTTTGTCTTTACTTGTGAGTGTTTATGTATTGTATGAAGACAAATAAACTTGTAGATATGATATGTAGATAAGTATGTAGTTACATAAACTTGTTTTTATTCAGTTCAAGTTACATAGATTTATATTTGCTTCCGTGAGTTGAAAAAATTAGGGAAGCCAATTGAGAAAATAATTGTGAATTTAATCGCAATTGCAATATTGACGAAAAAAATAAATTGCAGTTAGATTACTTTCCAGAATCGTTCAGCCCTAGGCTTGAGCACAAGTAGCCACCCCCTATCCCCACCCCTGCAGCTCAGAGCTGCAGCCCAGCTCACAACAACAACCAGTTAAACAGGTTTTGCTCATTAATTTTGTTTTATAAGTGAGTGTGGACATGCAGTATTTGACAGTATTTTTCAAAACACTGCGCAAGAACCAAATGGTTTTTGAGCTTTCATATTATGAATAAAGTTAAGGAATTACTATAAACTAAGGCTATACCAAATTAGGTACAAATATATATATACTGAATATTGCAATGATGACAGCAGCCATGATAAACCCACATGTTGTGTCATCATGATGCTCCTGTAGAGTGGGACACTATGTGGTATCCTAGTATATTTTTAGTGTGCTGGTTCTGTCTGATCTGTTGAAGGTCCCTCCATATACTGACAGTGCCTACACTGATAACGTGATACTGATACATTTTGAAAGCTTGTGCAGCTCCTCTAGAAGCAATATTTGAACTAATGTAACCTTTGTAGTACCTGTGCAGGTGCATGTATGTTTGACTCTGAATGTTTGTATCTTGTGTTTTCCTAGAAAACTGGTGTTGATGTCAGACCAGTTACAAAAGATGTCAGTCTCTTCCAGTTAACAACCAATCTGCAATGATGGGGATTTGAAAAGGTGAGTTTATTGGGCTAATAGACCACAAACTGATGCATTTTATTAGAAAAAGTAAGGATACTGTTGATATAGTAATTGTATATATTATAGAGCACATAATCTCACTTTCTTTGAACGTATAATAGTTCTATGGTCGATACAAAATATGTTCATGAGGTTCTTTGCACAAAATCTGCCTCACGAAAAGCGATTTCAAGTACCTTCACGAATGAGCCATGTCAGGGCTCTGTCACTTTAAAAAAACACACACACAGCAGGAGCTGGCCACACCCACACATTCCCCTCTCAGGCTGCTTATAGGAAACCTAAGTCACGCTCATCTACTTCCGGACCATGAAAAACAAAAAAATGATGCAAGTCAATGGGGCTAAAAACGTTATTTTCTAATTCCATTTGTTCTCATCCACGGATTTCACATATGATGTCCGTGAATTTTAAAGAAGCTTTTGGATACCAAGAACGCGCTTGTTTTCGAATGGGAGAAACGCTATCTTAGGTTTTTTGTGAAAATAAGTCCAGGAGTACAAATGCGCTTCACGAAAGTGACGTCATCAAACCAGACACAAAGGAGAACAGAGGGAAAATGGCTGCAAGTTCAGCAAACCAAATACTTCCCAGGAAAAACCACCATAAATCTGGTCATGTGGTAAGTAGCAGCTACGCTAGAGGAGAGGCGATTATGTGGTGACGTCACATATGTGACGTGCCGATGTAGTCATGCTAATTACAAACTTTTATAAGCTGATAAATCTCAAAGTATGTGACTTTTATGGTCGAAACATCCATCATTACTTTTCATTTGAATTGCAGTACAACATATGTGTGATCCAGGGCGTAAGGCTAAGCGGATTAGAAAAGAGCTCTTTTAGCCTCGTTGACTTGCATTCATTTTTTTCGTTCTTCCGGGGACCCATGAGCCAACTGGGAAGAGAGGAGACATAGGCTCCCTATTGCTGAGAAGGTCCAATATCTGGGAGGGGCTTGGAATAAAGCTGTTGCTCCTCCATCACCAACAGTTGAAATGGGATTATGCTAATTTCCCTTATTGTGACATCATAAATATTTCCTGAAACCAAATACTGACAGAAAACAGATGAACAGTTTTTATTTATGTTTGGAGTGTTACTAGCCTTTTTAGAAGACACACCATGCCGGCAAATCAGTGTAATAATGCCGCCATGGTGTGTCTTATGACTGTGGCATGGCAATGTGGAAATGTTGTGGCATTCGTGCCGGCACGCCGAGTAGTAATCATACCTGCAAACTTGTCTCTTTTCGGCGAAAATCGCCCTTTTTGAAGTCAAATGTGGCGTTCACGTGAATCGTGTGGATCCGAAGAGTTTTGGTTTTGAAGGGGTGGGGGGGTGGGGGGTGGGGGGGTCTAATGCCAGGTTTCAGCGATGGGCTTCAGTCACTCTTATGGAAATCAATTAGAGAAAGGAAAGGGGACTCCTCTTGTTCACAAACACTTGTTCTAGTGTGTTTGTCACATGTCATAATTTGACCAATCAGAGTCAGAGACAGCACACTGCAGACAATGAGGCAGAGAGGCACTCACAATGAGTATGAGTGCTGTCAAGATAACTTCTCGCAGCGGCTTTGACCTTAAAGGTCTGTGAAGGTTCTCAGTCATCCAGGTCATTGTAGTCTAAGGAGCTTTGAAAGAAAAGCGTCTGGACTTCTTTGAGTTGCTTGAAGACGTTTCACCTCTCATCCGAGAGGCTCCTTTGACCTTAAAGGTTGTCAAATTGAACAAAATCACCACTAAATAACAGCTTTCTGTAATGGACTTCAGCAGATTTACCTTTATAGATTTTTCCCAAGGCTAGTTGTATTTTCGGGGGGGGGGGGGGGGGCGGCATTGTAGTTGTCACCTTTTTCACACCCTCCGAGTTTGCAGGTATGGTTAATATTGCCACAACGCCGGATTTGTGAATGCATATTACGCCTTGTCGCAACAGAGGGTGGTGTCACAATCACGGCTGGAATTACTGCCGAGCTTCAGCAGGAAACTATATTGAAAATGAAAGTAAACATGGGCAGTAGGTTTCACTTTTTGAGCAGAATCAGCTGAGATGGTAAACTGGAGCGATGCAGAGATCCAGCAGCTTCTCTTTGTTAGAGGTGAAACTCAGATCACCTGACCATTCACAGGAACTGTGGAGGACAGACACCATCTTAAGTGGCTAGTCAAAAAAACGTAACGATCGCGGCTTCGATCACAATATGTCCAAGCTAAATGGAAGTTCGCGGCAGCGCAGAAACCGCCCCCATACACCCTTTGTACTGCCATCGCCTAATCTAAATGCGCCTACTTACCGCCGTGGTGTGACCTCATAAATGACCTAAGACTCCCTGGTGCTGGCTCAGCGTTGCGGCAAACTGGTGGCATTGATTTCTAAAAGAGGCTGATAAAAGCAGTAGAGGCAGCGCTAAAGTACCAACTGAGTTTGCATAAAACGTACTGTATGTCCCCTTAAATATCCAAGAAACTTGACTTCATATACTTCTTACTACATTGTTAATCTACTGAGTTACTAACTCCAGGAAGTAAATTGATTAGTTTTAGTGTAGTTATGAGGAATTTGCAAATATCCACACAGTTGTATTAATATCACCTCCTTCTTTAGTAAAGCTCAACACCATTTTTCTCTTATTTGATCCTCATCCACAGGAGAAGGGATTTACTGAAGGGTTTGATCATGTGACAGTCTAAAGTAATCAGGTTGCATAATTAGTCAGGGATGTGACAGGAGGAGAAGAGCATTGACGCTATGATTCATGCCTCTCTCACTGTCAGCTGGTTGTTTCCGTCCCCACCTCCTTCACACTTCCCACCACGGAGCTGTTCCTTTTTCTCTGTCTGCGTATTGTGTGCTTCTCAGGCGTGTGCACAAACCCAGGGTTTGATATTTGAGAAAGGAGGTGCAACGCTGATCTCTGCCGAGTTAGAGATAGACAGAAAGATGGAGGTTAAGCCCACGCTCTGCTCATCTCATGTTTTTTTTTCCCCTTTCCCCTTCCTTGTTCTGAGGAATGTGTTGAATCATAATACTTTGTGGGCGAAAACTGAAGATGGAAGAATGGTTTCCACACAGATTACAACAGACTTCTTACACTGAGGAGGGTCATGTAGAATGACATGATGATAGATGGAAAGCGAACAGCGGACTTGTTGAAAACCTTCAAAATTTCTCCAAACATATAAAGGATATTTTGACGTAAGATGGCTCATTCCTGCTCATTCCTCATTGTGATGATGGAAGCTCAGAGTCTAGTTGCGTGATATTAAAACTCAACTGTATGAGAGATTGTAAAATGATATTTTTATGCATTGTAAGTCTTACTCTGGGGAAGAAAACTGGTGTGCCTGTTTAAGGATGTAGAAGTCAGCTAGAGGAGAAAGTAGGTTCAGACGACAGGATTTGGAGTCTTATTTCCTTATATTCAGACTTCTGGCCTCTGATTGGCTAACAGCTATGTGACTCAATCACTGAATCTGTTTGCTCTGCAACGTTGCTGTTTTATCTCCATAAATAACACAAGCTTAGAGGAGTTCTGCTGTGTGGTGGAGTTGCTAATGCTAATGGGTAGCTTCTGCTAGTTGAGATGTTCTCTGCTGTTTCCTGGACACTAAACCAACAGCTTTTCCCATCGTGAGCCAAGAACGGTGAGTCTATGAACGTTAAGTGACAGTGTGACGTAGATCTGTCAGGATTTTCAAATCCTAGAGTTTCACCGTCTATTCTCTATGAGAAGCTGAAGCAGGAGACAGTTGTAGGAAACTATTTTCATTTTCAGCAACATGAAAATCTCAGAGCGCGGCTAAAGGTTTAGAATTCACATATGATCACCAGAACACCATTTATTAATCACATCACTCTTGTTTTCCAGGAGCTTCACTCAAAACCCATTTTTAGGATGACAGTAATAAATGACCTGCTCTTGCATAGCGCCTTCCAGAGTCAGAAGACTCCAGAGTGCTTTACATGTATATAAAATTCATACACACACACATTCACACGCTGGAGGTGATGGGCTATGATGTAGTGACAGCTACCCTTGGCTCACTGACAGAGGCGAGGCCGCCGGGCACAGGCGCCACCAGCCCCTCTGACCACCACCAGCAGGCAGGGAGGGACAGCCCACTCTACCACCTGAGATACTGCTGCCTGAGTAAGATTCATTCAGTTTACCCGTGACTCCATTTTTAATGTCGGATTACAAAATAAACTTTTAGTTTAGTTTAGTAGCTGTCATTTTTATGCAATTGCTATCTTGTGTTTTTTTTTTCCCCCTTTTGCTTGAGTTTTTAGAAAGATGCCTTAAATAAAAGATAATAATATTATTATTTTGTCTAAGCCAACCTAAATTATTTCACTTTTACAGGTCAACATCTATTTTTAATTGCTGTAACCCTCTCGGGCTCAAAATAAGTTTTGATAAAAGGACGAACAACTAAGTCCTTCAGGAGTACTTCTGAGTTAAAAAATGCTCATGAAATACGTATGTGGAGTAACCAGGTAGGTAGGTTTTAACTGTTGCAAATCTGCAACGCCTGCCTCCAGAGGGTTAAATCATACTGGCCAGTCGGAATATTGATTCCTAAGTGAAATCGATGAGAATTTGTTTTGAAGCGTTATTGTCTCAGGGAGTGATGTCTGTGGCATTTGGAGGAAGAGCAAGATATCATCAGCATAAAGGCAAACTGTATGAGTTGATTTTATGGATTTAATGCCCTCCATGTTGCAGTTCTGTCAGCAAGTGGAAAGACAAACAAAGCAAACAGCGATGGAGAGTGCGGGCAATTTATGAACTGCACGAAATCCATCCGAGGGCAGGAAACGACCTGTGGTCACCGCTGCATGGGCAGATGCTGAATATTTGAGCTGTGTTGCTGCTTCAGGCTAATCGAGCGATTTGTAAATAAATAAAAAGTTAGCTTTGACGCTTCCAGGATTTATTTTCTGTGAGTAAGTAAGGTGTTTTAAATCTAATAT